TGGATAGAGGTGAAAACAGAGACTCTGGATACTGTGAGATAGCGTCTGTGGAAACACGGCTAGTTCTCTAGAATAAGAAATGCAATCTTAATTGAAAAACCTTTTGCGGAAGCAGTTGTGGACCCAAATGATTTCAAAAACATTTTTAATCTTTACTTGATTCAGAAGATTGATTAAGTACATGTAAAACATCTATAAGAGCATACTGGAGGGAAAACCTGTTTATTTCCACTTGATTACTGTAAGTTATTTATTTATCTTTACATGCTTATGCTTTAATTATCTTTGATGAGTAATTCACAAGCATCAACTTCTACTGTTAATGAAGATAAAAATCTTATTTTATTTTTAGATGAAGAAGATGTTTCTTTCCTGCTCAAATTAGATGTAAAATCTGATGTTATATTCCCTATTGGTAAAGAAAAATTGAAGAAATATATAGAGATATAGATTTTAGTTGTAAGAATAACATAGGATTTGATTCTGTGAAAACTTATAGAGAAATAAGAAAAGTAGAAGATATTATAACTAAACATACGGATATACAAGAAGAAATTTCAGAAGGATTATTTAAAGGATATATAACCAAGAAAGGCCAACCTATAATCTTTGAAGAACTATTAAAATATAAAGAATATTTAAAGGTGTTCAAAAGATTGAAAAATATAGATATAGGACCTGATTGACAATTCCTTAAAGATATAAGATAAATCTTGCAAATAATTTCATTAAGGGCAATATAGTACTTTTGATAAGAAAGGCTATTGTGAAAAATAGGAAGAATCTACTAGCCATTTTCAAAGTTGTCCCATAGATGAAAGGGAAATTGCTGCATTAGATCCCCACCTATACATTGTGGCCAACTCATCCTCAACGTATGTTTTCTCGGTAGAATAGTCCCCAACCATATACTTCGTTCCACAGTTAGTCACTTATGTGATATGTCCCTTTCACTTGTAGGGCCTGCTTGGGATGATGATGATGATGATGATGATGATGATGATGATTATTATTATTATTATTATTATTATTATTATTTTACGAATTTTGTATGGTACCATTTATGAGATGTTGAAAAAATCGGTGTTTCCTAGTATTTCAAAGCATCGGTTTTTTATTGTTTAAAACCGTCAAAATTGATGTAATATAATTTTGGTCATTTCTCTCAGCCTATCAAGTTGGTGGATTTTGATTACTTTTCAAATTCTCTTTTACCCTTTATAAAATAATTTTTTTCATCATAAATTTTTTTAAAAAATACATTAATTAAAAAATTATTTATGAACAGATAGACTTCACTTTATAAGTAAAAATTGTGTGAAAGTTTATTTATAAGGTAAAAATAATAATAATCACTTATAAAATATAAAAATATTATTTATAAGTAAAAAATTATTTAGGTGTAAAATTTATTTAAATGTACAATGTAAAATATACTTAATTTTAATTATAGGTAAATACTTAATTTTCTAATTTAAATATTAACTTTTGTGTAAAAAAAATTCTTATAAGGATAAAATATCATTTATGAATAAAAAAATTCATATAGAAATTATAAATTAAAATCTTCAGTACGGGATATATGTAATTATACTCTTGAAAAATTCTATTTGTATATAATTATTGTACATAATAATGTCCATAATGTGATGTGGCAATTATTCGGTTATTAATTTACAAGTGTGAGATTTGAATTAAAGATTGTATCTAGTATCATGTGTAATTATGGACACCATTATGTAAACAATTATGTACATGTAGCACTTCCCTATATTCTTTAAGAAACTTCCAGATTCGATGAATAATGAACTCCTGAGTATGAATTGAATTATTTTATATATCAGTATTTTAAAAACCATCCAAAATTGGCCAACTTATAAATGCTCAAAATCGATATTTCAGAAAATAATAATAATAAAAATAAATAAATAAATTTCATCCCAAAACTCGCTAGTAAGTAGTAGGCCCTCAAAAGGGGAAATAACTTTTTTCGAGGTTGAAACTTTGGAGAAATCTTCTTCGAAGGTTTTTAATTCAATAATCACCAAAGAACGATTAAGTTTTACAATGTTGAAATACTTCAAAGCTTTAAATAGTTCTATGTAGGTAAAAGACCTAAAATGACCATACTAATTCAAGTGAATATTACTTTTGTGCATGGTGAACTAGACCGTGCATCATTTCCACCAGGTTGGAAAGGATTTGACCTCGAATTCGGACCTGTGCTGACAGCACTTGCAGCATCCTCGTACCAAGGTGAAAGATGTTTCACATTGAGCATCTAAAGCGACAAGGAGGAAGCTTCAAGCTTACACATTAGAATTAATCTTCTCAAGTTTCCAAAGTGCCTATTTTGTGGACTACTGGCTTATTGTGCTCGACAGCCCAAACAGGGCCAAAAATCTCGAATTCCAAGTGATGCCGAAGCTGGCCATGTACATTTCATATTTGATGGTTGTCTCCAACAAGCAGCCATGTCTAAGCTCACGAATATGCTGGAAATTGGAGATGAAATCAGAAGAAATACCCTGGATCTTAGAATGATCAGGCAATTGAATAAGATCAATTGGAGCCAAGAAATCGACTTGGAATTGAATGAAGCCTGTGCTTCTATCTTCGGCAAGGTTATGCGCAAATTCAGCAGCTAACTCTCCTATCCCATGACTTTCAAATATCATCGACTAGGGTGCACAAGAAGTTGCCCAATACTCTGCTAACCACCTCAGTTTTGCCATTCGTTTGGGGATGATAAGCGCTAACAAATTACAAAGCCATGATGCTTTGCCAAGAAATGACCTACACGACTACACGAGTATCACGATCTGACAAAATAGGTAATGGTAAGTGTTTCGTGCGGGTAGTCGCTAACAATTAAAAATGGATCAAACAATTGTGTAAGGGACAAACATCTTAAGACAAAGTCCCAAAAGGGGTGTTTTATTAGCAATGACTTTACAATTGGAATTTAAACAGAAATGCCTCCAAGGGGTGCAAGCACACGAGTACTGAAAAGAAATGTTTTAAGTCTAAACTAAGAAATTGAAATTACATATTCTATATTTGAGAGTGTTTGATTCGGGGTCCTTTGCTCTATGTCTTTTCTTCCATATTCCCTTGATACTCTCTTTGTGATCAACCGCTTAGAAATCGCTTAATTACTTTATAACTGCTCACTTTCTTCATGGTGGCCAACTTATCGTGGAACTGCTGTCTCTAACTACTGTCATTACTCTTTGTCGTTCAACCGTCCTCAACTGAACATCCTTGAATTGTGGAATCGTGATAATATTATCCAATAACTACTTCGATAATTGCACTTTTGGATAACCATAACATCTTATGTTTGCTAAGATCCTCGGCGATTCGAAGGTTTGTGCGAGAACAGGGTCATAACTCTGGGCGACGGTAAGGCACTTCATTCGCTCAGATCCTGGGCGTCTTTTAAGTTTGGGCGATGGTGTTACCGCGTTCGTGGGCTTCCACTGCATTCATTAACAACCTTATTTGGGCCTTTATTCTAAATTGCCCAGTTGGGCTTCATTCTTTGGGCTATTTGAATTGAGCTGCACTTTTAGCATGTCAACAATTACCCCCCAATATGGCAGAATTAATACCAATTATTAATTTTTGCCAGATTCACTTTGTGTTTCCCAGCAACATTTGAAATTCCCAAGAATTTCAATCACTATTTTCTTCCATAGCCTGAAAAGGTGCGACGTTGTAAACCCCTATAACCCCCAAATACACGTCATTTTATCGCACTACTAAATCACGCCTCATTGTTCTAGGCTTCTCTCTCACAATATTACTGTTCATCTTCTTGCTTCTCTGTTACGTTTCTCAAGCAAACCTCAACAAAACTTTATTTCGTTCCTAATGGCTACTTTACAATCCCAATCTGGCGACTCTTTCAGTTTTGAAGAATTCCAGAAGATCCTTACTCGGCCATATATAACTCCAAACTTCCTCGCACCAGCCAATGCCAAACTCAATGAGTTCTATCTAGGTCTTTCATTCAACAAGGCCGAGGCCGTCAAACAAGTGGCGGTGGGCCAACTGTTCCCTTGTACTCAATGCCCTCCGTTTCTAAACTCTTTGCCGCTGAGGCCGCTTCGCGAAAGAGGTATTCGCACTTGGCCTAAATCTGATGTTGTTTTCCGTAAATGGCATGCTTGCCTTGTGGACCATGATCCTACCAAGGCAATTTTTGATAGTGCTAGGATTTCTGATTTGCTAGAAATCTCTCTTCAACCCCCTACTTTTGATCCAACGATTTTTCCTATTGCTTTAAGTTTTTGGTCTTCTGAGTATAATACTTTTGTTTTCCCCCTTGGTCCCATGTCCATTACTTTAAGGGATGTCGGGGCCTTAGTAAATCTGCCACCTTTGGACGATACCATTTTCCCTGGTATTTTGATTTCTGGTGTCGCCCCAAAATTTGACAAAAAACTCACCGAGTCCTATTCAATCCTGCAAAGCTGTTATAATCACTCGAGCGCTGAGCCTTCTCATGCTGAGCGTGTGGCCTTTCTTTAGATTTGGCTTTGTAAATATATTCTGTGTGTGCCAAGCCTGAAGCCTTCTATGAGCTATTTACCCATAGCGAACGAATTGGCATGTGGTAGGCCTCTGAATTTGTGTTCTTTCTTTTTGGCCGCCCTCTATAGAGGCATGGCTTCTCTCTAATTCCAATTGAAGAATGGTGCATCTCCCACTAGCAGTGGGCCTCTTTGGTTCACTCAAATGTGGTTGAGAGCCTATTTTCCGTCACTTGGTGCTCTATCCCTTTCCTATTTTGCTAGTTGATATGGGCTACCTATTGACCCATTGAGCCCTGTACATATGTCCAAAACGGATATTTTTTCATTCTTTTATACTTTGAATTCCATTCCTTCTTTCTTTCCTTTTCCTCCCTTTTTAACTCCTGATTATGTGCATCCCCCATCTACCCTGGACAATGCGAGCACCTCTCTGCTCGTTTGGATTCAGTTTTTGACCAGGAGGGAGTTGTTCCATGATATTTTAACTGGAACTAATGCCAAAGCTATGGTTGGAATATATGCTCCCCAATTTTTTGCTCGTCAACTTGATTTTGGCCAAACTTGGCCTGTTCCCCTTGTTATTCAAGAAATTTAATAGATCGCTTCTACACCATAAATAAGGCAGAGGCAGAAGCTATAAATGCTCGCAATATTCTTTTGACAAGTAACTTTTCATTAGCTCCCTTCAATCCTAGTCATTCCACCCATCCCCTTTTTGAACAACTCTGGTCATCAGTGCAGCGCAGATTGTTTGCAACTGATATCAATCGCACTTTCCATTCACTGGATCAGCCGGACATTTCTTCCACTTCCCCTATTTTGGTCACCCCTGTGTCCATTAGGAGTCCTTTCTCTTCTGCTCGTGCTAAACAGTCTGTTCGTCCATCTACTTCTCTTCCTGCCAAGCCTACTGCATCTAAAAGTGTCCCAAGCCGCAAACGGCCAGCCTCAACATCTCCCATTTTGGAGGATGATGATGATGATGATGACACTCCTCTCATTGTCAGGAGAAAGGTAATTAAATTAGTTTACTCATAAGCATACCTTTCTATACTTGAAACTTTTCTATGTGCTGATGGTTTATTCGGATTTTTTAGAAAAGCTCAGCCTCTCATTCGAAGGTTTTGGTGTTGGCAGCTCCAGCTCCATCACCCTCTGCTGAGGTTGCTTCATCCAAACCAGTTGATGAAGGGACTACGCTTAAAGAGAAACCTTCAGTCCCGGAATCCTCATCACAACCAATGGATGAGCCACCTTCTTCCCAGGGTGTCAACCCCCCAAACGTCGAAC